CCTGGACACCCCCAGCACCCCGGCTCTGCACCCGCAGCCCCCAGACCCAGCCCGGCCAGCCTGCGGCGTGGGGTGCCCGTGGGGCTGCCCCGCTGCGGGGCCGCACAGCTCGGCCTCGTGTGCTCGACGCCACAGCCCCGGCACGTGGGACCGTGCCCTCGAATATGGGATCCTCTAAAAAACAAACAATCCCGACCCCCTGGCAGGGAACAGCCCACAGCTTCACCCACAGCCCCGGGCAGCTCCCAACCAGCACCCTGGCAAAGCTGCGGGTGCAGCTGGTCACCGAGCCCACCCAGTCCCAGAGAGCAGCCGGGACCCAGGTTGGACTTTCCTTCAGGATCGTGGTGGGATGGGCCCAGCCCGGCCCTATCAGCCCCCATCCAGGAGCCACCGCTGCAGGACATCAGCCCGCCCGGTGTAGGACTCAGCTCTTAGCAAGGGGGCTCGCGTTTCCCCACCACCGGTTTTAATATTTAAAGCCAAATTTTGCGTACACGATTAATTTTTTACAAGGCTTCAAGCTTGCAAAGAACACCACGCTGCACATGTCACGTCGCCGCAAATAGATACAGGGCTGGAAAAATTACAGGCTGCTGGGAGAATAAACATGTTCCCGTCAGCCGGAGCCAGCTCGCTTTTCCCGAGCCTCCACATTTCACTGCTCCAGAGCAGCTCCAACCTACACGGCCCCAAGGTCCCTCTGTGAGAGGTAGCAGGGGACCGCTGACCCCCCCCATCACTCATTTTGCTTTCAGTGACCCTCCCAGCCAGGGTGCAGCCCACTGGCATCCCACTGCCCCCCACTGCTGTCACCAGCCACCCCCTGAGTCCTGGGTCCCCCCTCACCATGCAAAGGGCCACGTCCCTGTGCGCCTGCTCGGCACAGCCTGGGAATCCCCCCATCTCCCCCACATGCCTTCCCGGGCCTCTGAGCAGCCGAGCAAATGCCGCACTGCCCCGGCACGGTGCCTGGCACCCTGGAGCAGGGGGGGATTTGGGCTCTCTTGGAGCTGCGGTGGCATCTGCACCTGCCGGAGCAGCTGGGGTCCCGTGGGGAGCGGGTGGCCATGCACCGGCAGGATGGTTTGCACGGCCAGTCCCGCACCTCTCGTGCGGCTGAGCTGGCGTCAGCTGAGTCACGGCGAGCCTGGATGCAGGCGGGGGCGGGCGGCTGTGCAGAGCCCTCACCAGCACCCACCAGCCCATCCTGCAGCCCATGCTGGGCACCCACCCATCCCAGCCGCCCTCAGCACCTCGAGGACATGTAGCCAGACCCAACGATGGGGTGGGAAGAGGATGAGCTCGAGGCCCTCCTGCCGCTGGGCAGGGGCAGCGGTGGCTTCAGGGGGTGGGAGGGGATGAAATCGCCTGGCTGACACGTTCAGGGGTGGCAGGGCAGCTCCCCGCGGAGGCAGCCCCGGTGCCCAGCATCCCTTCCCTCCCGGCATGCAGGAGCCCAGCACAGTCCGTATCTGGGGCAAGATGGGATGGGAATGAGGACTGGGATGGAGATGAGGATAGGATGGGATGGGATGGGGAAGAGGACAAGGACAGGGGTGAGCTAGGGCTGGGGCTGCGATAGAGGTAGGATAACGATAGGGATGGGGGACACGGATGAGGTCAGGGATGGGATGGTGTGTGTGCCTGCCCAGTCCAGCTGCACTGCCCTGCTCTCCTTGGGGAGACCTGGGACCCTCTGCACAGCAGCCCCATGCCCGGGCACCCTCCTTGCCCAGGTGACAGCCCCAGCAGCTCCATTTGACATGGCCGGGAGCAGGATTGAGCCCTGTTAGGGTCCCCCAAACCCACCACCACCCCCAGTGCTGCCCACTGCCCCTGGGCCCACCCCAAGCCCCCAGATGCCCTCCTCTCGCCCCGGGTCCTTGCAGTTCTCTGACGTGGCTGCAAAGGGGAAGATCCCAAAGAAGAATTGAGGCCAAAAGCCCCAGCAAGGACCCCCCAGGCACCACCCAGGGTGCAGCCCTGAGCTCGGGGCTACGGCGGGGACAGTCCCACCCCGGGCAAGGCACGTGCCCAGCAAGAGGCACAACGTGGCACCAGCCCCACCGGCATCCCCTCCTTGGCCGGGCTCTGCTGCTGCCGCATCTCGGGCAGGCGAGCAGCATGCTCGCCCCAATTAGCAGGGGAGATTACCCCGCACGGATCCTGCCAACTTGCTCCGGCTTCTCGGCTGATTTGTCTGGGGCTGCGGCTAATCCCCTCCGGGGCAGACACCAGATTGAGCCACGATCTCTGTGCGGCGGCTGCCAAAAGCACCCTGCACTCCTGACCTCCTTCCCGGCCCACCAGTTGGGATCCCCGGCAGCCAACGGGTTCCGCTCATCCCACCCTGATCCTGGGGCGGGGGGAGAGGGGCTCCTTAATTGGGGATCTTTGGCAGAGCCTGCAACGCCCGCACTGCCACCGCCGGCCTTGCTAACCGCCCATTGTGCTGACAGGGACGGGGATTGTGCCACACGGCCGACAGCTCCGGTCCCGGGGGACCCCCGGGGTGCGGGGAGGTGGGTGTCCGGCGCTGGCGCAGCGGCAGGGCACAGGCAGCTATCCGGTGAAAATCTGCATCCCTGGTTATGCAACGCCGCTGATTTATTCATGCCTGAACCGGGCACTGGCCTAGAAATTAGCCTTGGTGATGCTGAGGAGGGGCAGGGCTGGGAAGATGCTGCAGAATTGAGCCCCAGGGGAGGGCTGAGCCCCAGGGGAGGCTGCGGGAGCACACAGGGCACCCAGGGGTGCTCACACCACAGCCGGTGATGCCAGACAGGGCAGAGGGTGCTGCCATCCTACACGTGGTCAACGGGGCTGCGTGCAGGCAGCAAGTCCCCCCAGGACAGGCAGCGAGGGGGCTGATCCCCAATTCTCCTCCCACACCAGATTTTGCATGATTAATCGATTTAACCACAGCAGTTTCCAGCACCCAGCTCGAGCTGCGCTGGGCCAGGAGCAGGAGACACCAGCAAAAGGCTCTGGGTGGCCCAAGCGGAGGCTGCGAAGGGGTGGAGGACGGAAGCGGTGCTCAGGAAACAGTCGTCAGAAAAGCAAAAACAGCGAAAACAAGCACGGTGCCCAGCCTTTCCCGGCAAAACAGGGCTGCGTGCTCCTCCCCGTCCTTTTCTGCTTGTTCGGATGGCTGAGAGGGGCTGTGGAGACGGGCACAGCCGGTGGCTCAGACAGAAGGGAAAGGAGCCGGACAGGACCCAGCCACCCTCTGCCTCTGCCCCAGCCAGCAGCACTCCAGGGCAGGAGGAGCTGCCCAGGTCCTAGGAAATCCACACCAAGTGCCAAAGCATGGGCAGGGGTAGTTGTGGGCTGATGGCACCCACGGGTGCCTTGGGACCGCATCCCCTCAGGAAGCTGCAGCTGGGAACCCATGCCAGGACAAATGCTCGGAAAGCAGCCGAGCTCCGCAGCAGCTTCCCAGGGTGACAAAGGGCCCCTCAGCCCCTCACTCTGCAGCTCCACATCGCGGTGGGGTCTCCCCGGGAGGAAGGGGGGCTCTTGCCGTGCTGCCGCGGGGCAGAGGGAAGCCCACCTCCTTCCCCGCGCTGCCCAGCTGAGCGCACGCACAGGCAGGACGGATGGAAAACAGCCTGGGAATGCGACGAGCAAACATCTGCTCGCCCCCCGCACCGAGCCCCGGCCTCCTTGGAGGGAAAAGGCTGCAGAGGAGCGGTCGCACGCTCCCTGCCGAGAGGAAACAGATGCCGCCGGCCCGGCCCAGGCATTTCCCGTCACTGTCACGGGGTGCCGAGAGATTTGCAGGTAGCAGAGGCTGCGGGACCATGTCCTGTCCTGGCTGTGCCTCCCCACATCATCCTGGGTATTTTGTTTTAGGAGGGGGAGCGAGGCACAGGGTCAAAAGCAAGCACCCATGTGCCTGGGCTGCTGGGTGACAGCTCCCACCTCCACCCATCCCTCCCTGACCAGCCAAAACAGGGGGTCCTTAGCCTGGCCCCCGCAACTTCAAAATCTCTGGCTGCTCACAAGAGAAGGTTCTCATCCCCTGGCGCAGACCCAACCCACAGGTCCCACGCATCCCACCACGGGGAAGATCTTGGGAAGCAGGAACACAGGGTAGGGAGGGTCTGCCGCCCACTCGCACCGTGAGGAAGAGCGGCTCATGCCCTGGCACCGATACACACACGGGGAGGGAGAAATGCACCAGTGAAGAAAAAGAAGGCGTGGATGCCAGGCAAGCAGAGGCTCTCCCTTCCTCCAGGGGACACAGGTGGAACAGGAACAGCCGTAGAAACCAGCGCAGATTTATTGTTAAAACACAACCACCAAATACCTGAAGGCTGCCGAGTGCTCTGGCAGGGCTCACGGCCGCAGCACGGGGACCGGACTGTAAAAAACGAGGGTAGAGGGAGGGAAGGGGAGAGCCCGACCCCAGCCCCATGTGCACAGGTGTCCACTCCCCCCGAGCGCAGGTCCAGCGGGGGCCCCGGAGCACCCCCAGCCCTGTGCGGCAGGGTGGTCACTTGGTGGCCAGCAGCTGCTTTCGCTGTTGCTCCAGGAGGGCTTCCAGGCGGTCGGCTCTCTGCATAGCCGCCTGCAACAGAGCACACGAGAGGGAGAGCTCGCTGCGCCCCGGGGCACAGCTACAGCCCGAGGGGTTGGGGGGGGGGGCTGGGGCCAGCTGCCCCCCTCACTCACTTCGTACTGCTTCCGAAGGCTGCTCACGCTCTCCTCCTTCCTCATCACCGCCGTCTTCACCCTGAGCAGATGGACACGGAGAGGCTGAGGACCCCATCCTCAGTGCCCAGCCCCAAACGCCGGGCTGACCCTGTGCCCCAGGAGGGCGATTTCAGCACCGGGGGAGGCACAGCTCCTCTCCCCCCACCCAGCGCTCTGCAGCAAGCCAAAGAGCAGCAGCTCTGGGCTCCGGGTGCCGTTACACGCCAGAAGGGCCTTAATTCCTTTGGTGAACGTCATGTAGTTTGGATCAAGTCATCTATAGGAAGAAGGGGACATTAGTTTCACAAGACTTAATTAATTAACAGGACCACAGGGAGGGGATTTTAAGTTTCTTCCCATTTCTCAAGCCCACGGTTGCTGCTTCATGGCTGGACTCTTCCCCACAGCTCTCAGAGCACCAGACTCCCTGCGTTTCAACCTTTGCCATGCTGTACGTAAGGGACGGAAGCAGAAAGGGGATCCTCGTTATCTCATATTCAAGGTATGACCCTGGCTCTCAGAGCGAGTGGGAATCACTTGGCAAGATCTGGGAAAGCCAGCAAGCTCCGTGTGCTCGTACAACAGCCTCTCGTTATAGCTGGTGGTGAGCAGTTCTGAACAGACACCGACAGGAGGGATGGCTCTGCACCACACTGGAGTCCTTAGCACAGCGCTCTGCCCCACGCAGAAAGAGCTCCTGCAGGAGACGATGCGCTTCCCCTTCCGATTCTCCTTTCACTTGCAAAACGCCTCCCACGAGGCAGACTCGAGGGAAGAGGAAGCCTTACGTCTCTGCCTGACACTGAGCCCGGCTCCCAGCACCGGCTCCCCGCTGAGTGCAGGATGGAGCCGAGCCCCGCGGCACAGCCCCGCAGTGCCAGAGCCCTGCTCCCGAGCACAGCCCCTGCTCCCTGCAGCCAACAGCCTGGGGCCCCAGCGCATTTTGGGGATGTCTCAGCTGCCGTCAACCTCCACGGCTGTGCAGCGGCCACCTGAGCCCTGACCCAGCAGCAGGCTGCTCTCTCCCCTATGCTCAGGGGGGGTGGAATCCATTGCCTGGCCCCTCTGGAGCGGCAAATCTGCAGAGCAAGATGCTGTGGCTGCAATCACCGGTATCATGCACTACCCACGGCGGAGGCCTCGTGAACTGGGCCAGCTCACAGTGCTCCTGCCAGCGAGGAACCACAGACGGAGCTGTGCACCACTGGCCTCTCCTGGCAGGAGCCCTCACACTGCTCCAGCTGCCTGCCTCCAGGCATGCAAGGGAGCAGCCCTGGGGACAGGATGACACAGAGCAGGCTAGAAGTCACAAGGGCCAGAGGATTCACGCTGGCTGAGCAGGCAGCCAGCTCCGGTGAGACTCTGCTCCCCATTTTGACCTGACAGGACTGGAAGCCATGCCTGAGGATCCAGCACTGCAGACATGCTCCTGCAACGCACCCCAGGCCAACTCTGCGCCCACAGCTCCAGCTATGAGCCCAGCCCGGGTCAGCAAAGCCCAGGCAGCCTCACCTCCTGTGAACCTCCTCCAGCTCTTTGTCCTTCTCCTGCACCACCCTATCCAGCTCCAGGCGTTGCCGGGCTCTCATCTCCGCCATCTCCGCCTTTAGCTGCTTGTTCTCCTCCTCTGTCCCCACCAGCCTGTCAGCAAACTCCTGCCGGATCACTTCTGCCAGGCTGCTCCGCTCCTGGGCCAGCTGGTCCCTCACCTGCAGCAGGGCAAAGAGGTGACATTAAGGCACTGACAGGCACAGAGCAACGCAGAGGGACAGAGCCAGGTGGGGCACCCACCTTCTGGATCTCCTCCACCTCCTGCTCCTTGTGCTTCAGCAGGCCCTGCAGACGAATGCTCTCCCCTTCCAGCTCTGCCAGCCGCCCCTTCAGCTCATTGCAGCGCTCCTGCAGCTTCCGCTCAGACCTCTCTAGCTCCTGGAGCTCTACCTCGTACTTGTCTCGGATCCTCTTAATCCTAACGGGAGGAAAGGACAGGCAGTCTGGCTCAGCCCAGCGCTGCAGGGACCATCCCCAGCCACCTTCGTGCTGCAGGAGGGACCACGACACAGCAGCGAAGGGAGGAGAGCCCCACGGGAGATTCATGGCTGTTTCCTCAGTGAGAGGTAAAATTTGCCCCCGCCAACCGCTCCCTCCTGTACTAACGCTGCTCACACCCACAAGCTGCAGCATCCAGAGCTCGCTGGAGAAACATGGAGGGCTCAGGGGAAGGGGACAAGCCCCCCTTAAGAGCTGGGACTCACAGGCTCCCTCCTCCCTCTCCCTCCTACCTGTTCTCTGCTGCCCTCTCACACTCCTCCTTGGCTGAGGACATGTCGGCCTCCAGGCGCTGAATCACCAACTCGATCTCTTTGTCTCTCTCCTTCCTCACCTCCTCCCGCAGCTCCCGCTCCCGGGAGAGCAGCCAGGCTTCCTGGGGACAGAGATGGCAAACGTTGCCTCGATCCCTCTCGGAGCCCAATGGTGGTCCCTTTGGAGAAGGGCAGCTCTTGCTGTTACCTCCTTCTTCATGTAGTGTGCCTCCCAGGCCTGCTTCTCCATCTCCAGCCGGTCCTTCAGCACCTTCACTTCTGCCTGTGCAGAGACAAGAAAACAACCGCTTAGCTCCGGCAGCCACGGCACCCCACGCCAGCTGGGAGCAGCACCCCCGGCACTGCCCTGGTGGGGGTACATGGCTCAGTGGCGCCAGCGCATGTCACCGCAGTCACACGCTGGGGACTGGGCTTCTCGCACCCAAGAACAGCAATCCAGGGCCCAGAGATGAGGGGAAAACCAGACCTGATGCCGCCTCTCCTGCTCCTCCTTCTCTTTTGCGTACTCCTCCTTCAGTGCCCTGGTGACGGCCGAGCTGCTCGCCTCCAGCTGCCGCCGCAGCTCCTCCACCTCCGCTCTCTGCCTGCCCGCACACAAACGGCACCTCCCAACATCTGCGCCGGCACAGCCTCGTCAGGCTGCTTCCCCCCTTAGCCCACCTCGAGCACCAGCCCTCTTCCCACCAGAGCCTGGCCTGGGGAAACCAACCCCACTGCTCCTAAGCTTCGGGCTGCCTCCAGCCCTTGGCCACTGCGCGGGCTCCGCTGCCAGCCCACTCACCTGGCCGCTTGCTGGCTGAGCCGCTCCTTCTCCTCGGCCACCTCGGCGTAGAGCCGGCGCCGCTGCTGCTGCAGCGCCTGCTCCTCCTGCTCCAGCTGCTGCTCACACCTGCAGGGCACAGCAGCCTCAGGGACGTGCCTGCCTTCAGGCTCGTCCACCTCTCCACCCCGACCCGTTCCATCCCTTCTGCGGCCGACCAGGGGCTTGACGCTGGAGGATGCCCCTGGTTCACCGCCTTCTCCCACCTTGGGGACGATGGAGAGAAAGGGGCTGCTCCCCATGGATATTAACTGCTGCAAATATCGGGAACCCACCGGCACATGCGTGTTGGATAGCACCCCCATGCCGTGAGCCCCAAACCACCATTGAGGCCCCCACTGCAATGACGTACCGCTGCCGGGCCCGCTCCCTCTCCCGCTGGCTCTGCTCCTCCTTCTCCCGCTCCAGCAGACCCCGCAGCTCCTCTGCCTGCCGGCCGTAGCGCTGGGCAGCCCGCTCATCCGACTGCAGCAGCTCGGCCTCGTGCAGCATCTTCAGCTTCCTGATGTCCTGCCTGTGTTTGGCGATGAGCTTCTGGATCTCCGGCTCCAGCCCTGAGACAGCAGGAAGGACAGTTACCGCTCAGCCTCAGGGCTGCCCAGACCCCAACACCCATGCCCTTGGCCTTGGCCAGCTGGTGAGGAGGCTGCAAACACATCAACTCGGCAAAGAGGGGCTGGTAAGAAAGGGGGGGTGAGCATGCACAGGTTTTCTTGCCTTCTAGCATCTGTTTCTACCAAACACAGGGAGCAGAGACTACCCACGCCGAGCAGCTCTTCCCCGAACTGCCAGCAGCTTCTGCAGACACAGCCCCTCTCCTGGACCAGCACGGACACGACCCCTGCACCAGCCCGACTCCAGCCACTGACGAGGGAATGTGCCCATACCTTTCACTGTGATTTCTTTGATCTTTTTGGTTTTCTCATCAATCCACTTCTCCCGCCTGATTTTCTCAGTTGCGCTCATCAGTTCCTTCAGTTTCTTAATCTCCTGTTTGGAAGCAAACAGGAAAGCTTCAGAAACAAGCTCGGGGAGAAAACCCCTGTTAGCCTGGGAGCCCGGCTGTTGAGAAGGAAGATGCAGGCAAGAGCAGACAGCCTGAGCTCCGCACAGATGGCTCGCAGAGCCCAGGCCAGGCATGTTCTCCCAGTCCAGAGAAGCAGTCCTATGCTCTCCCAGTACCTTCTCCTCTCTCATGGGATGGGACTGATGCTGCCCCACAGACCTTGAGCACAGGGGAAAAGAGCAAAACCCTTGGGAAAGCACTCACTGGCTGAGACATGAGAGCACCTACAGAGAGGAGAGGAGAATTCAGGGCTGCTCGTGGTCCTTGCATGCAGGGCAGCCCATCTGTCAGCAGATGGTCGTGTGTGAAGATGCTTTCTTCTCCAACCTTCCCTCTCCCTCACACGGAAGACCCTCCGGCAGGAGGACAGACAGGCAGGCACTCCTCCCAACACCACAGTACCACTGCAGACCAAGCTCCTGCAGCACCCCAAAACTCTTCAAAGACTTGAATGCTGCACAGCCACTGCCCTCGCTTCCTCCTCTGCCACCGTTTACCTCCTCGGCCCTCCTCGCCAGCAAAAAAGCTGGAGAAACACCCAGGCCCTGCTGCCCACGGAGCTCTTCCCCAGCACTCCCCTCGGCAAAAGCACCAGGCAATGGAAGGCCCAGCAGAAATGGCTCCGTTTCAGCATGGGCAGGTGATGTCCACATGGAGGACGTGGGACATGTCACAGCTCCAGAGGATGAGTGTGTGGCTGGACACCCAGGAGCTCATTACCTGGCCACCATGCAGAGAGGGGCAGGGAATAGCAGGGGGCCACCCACACAGCCTCGGACTTGCTCTTAGGGAAAAAAGGGCAGGAAAATCAACATGGGAAGGCAGCAGTTGAGCACGTGGCCTGGGGAGATGGGATGAAGGGGTTCCTTCATGGGGCTGACCCTGCTGCTGAGCAAGGAGTTTCCAGCCCAGCCCTGCTGCCTGCAGGCACCTGCGGAGCCGGAGCAGGTCAGGGTGTGAGAGCAGAAGGGCAAGGCACAAAAAAGAGCAAAGACCACATTTACCTCGCAAAAGGGGCCCAAAGTGCGCCAGACCTGGGGAGAAAGAAAGGAGGGGATGGAGAGAGAAGGGGAATCGCAGAGTCACGGGGGAGAGGGGAGGGGAGAAAGGCAAGACCAAACAGCTGTGTGTTTGCAAGAGCCACAGGCAGGGCAGACGGGGAGACAGGGGTCCCACAGGAGCGAGGGGAGGCACAGCCAAATCGGGCAGTTACACAGATGTGCCAAGGGCCCAGCAGCACGGCCGGCGACAGCAGCTCTGGGACAAGGGCAGAGCCAGCCCCGCCGGGGAGCGTGCCGCATGGTCGGGAGCCTGCTCTGACGACCAGGGGACGCCCACGGGGGACAAACCTTACTCAGTGGCTTTCTCCCACCACGCAGAGGAAGCAGGGCAGAGCCAGGAGCCTGGCGCACCAGGAGCAGGGACAACAAAGGGGCCGCAGAGCAAACATAGAAAGGATCCTGGGCCGTTCCCACTGCTGCTGCCCTGCTGCGAGCAGGGAGCGAGACAGAACAGAGGCACCTCCTCTGCCCTGCGCAGGCTGCAGCAGCAAAACCAGCCCCGTCCATCCACGAGAAGGGGCCCCTCCAGGCACCACACACAGCAATACTGTGCTGGCTTCTTCCTCTCGGCTGGGCTCAGAACTCAGGCTGAAACAGTAATGCAAAGTGAGCCAAGCAAGCCTTCGCTTTGTTTGCGTGAGGGCATCTCTAAACAGGCTCAGACTGGTGCAAATGTCTGCCTTGCTCCAGAGCCCTGGGCATGAGCTCAACTGCAAGCCAAGGGTGAGCAGAGACCGGGGCAGCAGAGCCAGGACGAGCCCTGAGGCCAAGCTACGAGCCAGAGGCACTGCTTTCTTGCCAGGCCCGCCACAGGGCAAGCCGAGCTGTCTCTGTCTGCGGGAGAGGGAGCTCTCTGCACGATCCCGAGGGAAGCTGCCAGCCAGCTCCTACGAGCAGGCAGCACATCCTCACCTCTCTGGGGAAACAGCTCTCTGTGTGATCAGGCACTGGTCAGGGTAACAGGCCAGTGAAACCCACAGAGGTCTGTTATTATTGCTTATACACTCCATGTTCCTTTATAATCTTATCCCCATTTATCTCTGAGAGTATCCTTGCTCCTGCAAAGGGGGCTGAAAAATCACCCAGCTCAGGAGGATATGGCCACAGGTACAAATTCCTCTGTGGCATCATGTTTGTGCCAGCGCCTGCTTTCACCTCTGCCGAAGCGAGGTCCCCCAGTCACCCCTCAGCAGGGAGAAGAGCTCTGTCCACAGCGGGATGTGTGGGAAGGGTCTTTCCGAGCAGAGTCCCTGGGAGCTGGCACTGTCTCCTGGTCAGTCCCGTGCACCTGGCTTTGGGCAGCAGAGGACAGCAGCCTCTTGCGGGCCAGGGCAAAGCTCTGTAGGTGATACAGACTTTCCGTGCGCAGAGAAGGGCTTCCCAGAAGAACCAGGCCCCACTGAGATGAGAGAATGCTCTGGGCAGAGGCCCCATTTGAGCAAAACCAACCAACTCTGGCTATGGCATGTCTCCTCTCCCCATCCCCCCAACTTTCCTATCGCCTCACCAGCTCGTGCTGCTCCTGCATCTGGGTGATCTTCTTGCCGTACTTCTGGTCCACTTGTTTCAGCTCAGCTACCACAGCCTCACACTTCTCACTCAGCACTTTCTTGTCATCAATGAGCTGGACAGGGTAAAGAAGAGGCATCAGACAGCCAGGTAGGGTAGAGCCACCTCAGCTTCTGGCTTCAGAAGCATCAGTCCAAGTTGGGATGAGAGATTACCTGGTCGATGAAGGCCAGATGCCTTTGGATAGCTGCCTCATACTGTTCCCTCTGCAGCCTGAGCTGGTGGCTGAGCTCCTTCTCAGTCTGTTTGACGTGCCGGATAGTCAGTTCCCTCTGCTGAGCCTTTTGGATGTAGGGAAGAAATAGCCACAAGACATTAGAGGGAGAAGTTACACCAGTCTCAGAACGTGTACAGGAGGTAACTACTGAATCTGGAAGGCAGTGTCAGATCAGAACAAGGAGGAACAAAGCTAAATCAAAGTCCCTGGTACTCACACGTCCTGCCCCACTGTCCACAGCAGAACCACCCAAACCCCCGTGGGACAGAGGACAAGGGAGTTCAGTGCAGGTCCTGACCAAGGGTTTCTGGACTAGTCAGGACCCTGCCAAGACAGGGAGTTTGAGGATGCCTTTCAAATCAGGGGGGCAGCAAGGAGAAATCTCAGTGAAGCCCACACCAGGCTGGGAAGGACCTTGCAGGTCTTTCCCACGCTAAACAGTGCCTGGGACTGCGGCATACCCGGCAGCCTCTGGCCCTCCGGCTTATTGGCACTAGCTCCGGGAGCGCTGCCGTACTTTGCTGGGGACACAGATGGGAAGCCCTATTCACAGAGCCCTGATCTTGTGCTTCAAAGCCACAGCCCCAAGAAACATCTGCTGAGGGCTCTTGGTCTTCATTCCCCAGCAAGCAAACGCATCTGGTTCACACACCAGGGCCGTCTGTAGCAGGCTGATGGCTCGCTTCTTCTCCTCCACTTCCAGCTTCAGCCTCATGATGGAGCCTGTGACCTCTGTGGCAACAGCCGATGCCTGCTCCAAGTGAGCCAGCTCCTCTTCCAAGAGGAGACCCTGCCACAGTGAAAAAAAAGTTATTAAAAAAGTGGTGGGGACCACCTGGAACCAGGACAAGGAGACAGGAGACCAGAGACCCTTCCCACCAGGGTCTTGCACCACCTCTCCAATACAGACAGGCTCTCACTTCAGCACTCACCTCCCGCTGCGTGGCCGAGGCGGCCGACCTGGGCCTCTCCTGTTCCGACTTCTCCATCTCATCCAGGAAACTGATGATGCTTTGGAGCTTGGCCTCCGAGAGCAGAGCCCCATCCTCAGGGACCCCCGGGGAGTGGTTCAGCTTCCCAAACTTCTCCAAATTATCAGCAGTCAGGGAATTGGAGCTGGCCTCCTGCTGGGCAGACACAGCCATGAATGAGCACCCAGGGGAAGGCTCGGGAGAAGAGGTGCTGGCTCTTCTCCATCACTGGAGCCCAGTCCTCCCACTGCACCCCAGTAACTAGCCTTATCCTCTATGCTAACCCCACTTCTGCCACAGCCCTTGCACGGTTTTGCTCCTCCTTGCAGATGCCCAAGCCCTGGCTGCAGCAAACTCCTCCACTGACTTCTCTGGCAGCGAACCAGCTGCGTTTCTCACCCTCCACCACCCAGCAAGCGCTGGGAGAGGGCAGCCCATAGGAGAACCTGCTCTCACCAGGCAGCCGTTGCTGTCTGAGGGTGGACATGACCAGCCTCAGACCTCTGCTTACCCCATCTACCCAGGCATATCTGTCCTTCTTGAAGAGCTTTGGTGGGGGCAGCAGCTCTGGCTCTTCCTCCAACAGCCTGAGTGTGTCCAGCAGCTCATTGAGAGTGACCTTGGACTGAGTCCTGCTGATAGCAGTCACCACTGTCTCCACATCCTCGCCACCCGTCTCTCTGGAGCTCACATCCTAGGCGAGAGGACGATGCACCTTGCAGCAAAAGAGTTTGAAGGATCTCCCCAGAGGTCAACGAAGGCTCCAAAGCTGCCCTGGCAGAATAGCTGGTGCCAGGAGCCCCATGAGGCAAAGTCAGACCTACCTGCAGCTTGTCGTCTGCCCCAGGGTCCCGCAAGAGCACGGAGCCAAGGTCTGCGAGGCCACTTTCTTCTGGCTCTGCAGCTACTGAGTGGAAATTGGCCTCTGCAGGAACCAGACTGCTCTCAGGCACTTGCAACAACCAGCCCCTTCAAAGCAGCTCCCCAGAATGAGAACCACCCCTCCATCCTCCTCCTTCCCCTTCATGTCACACACTGCTCCAAAAGCTTGGAGACCTGCAGAAGGGACTCACCAGCATTATTGGCTTTGGCGACGCTGCTGGCTGGACTGACGTTCCTTGTAGAAGCAGGTTTGGCAGGCTTCTTCTTTGCTACCCTTCTGCTCTCCTTCACCCGCGCAAGCTCTTCTTCTGCCAAGCGCTTTGCATCTGAAGCCTTTTGGGCCCTTTTCTGGTGCAGTTCCTGTAGGGACAGACAAGCCGTCAGCATCCTGCCCAGCACAGGGCATGCTTTGACACACGCCTGCACTGCTTTAAGTGCTGGCAAGGGCCTGCGAGACAGCAACAACCCACATGCTCGCTGCTGAAGGGTTAACAAGGACAACTCTAGAGAAAGAGAAAGCACAGGAACAACAGCTCTGCTCTTCACTGCTCTGTGGTGGCCAAGGTCTTGCCAGCTCCACATGTGAACAAGGGCTGCTCACATGCCCCTGCGCAGTGTCCTTTGCTGCTCCGTAAATGGCCTCCGAATCCCAAGGGCCAAGCACCGCACAGCATGGCGATGCCGCAGTGCCCAGGGGGCTGCCTTAGCCGAGTTTTGGGAAGTCACTTAAGGCACAAGCACGTGTTTGCGAGGCTGTTGCAGCATTTTGCCGTTCTCCAGCTGCTCACTGCTGTGTTTCCCCTGAGCCCCCTGGATGAAACATGATTCCATTTAGGGCAAAGAGAAACCGGGGTTTTAAAAAAATCTTCAGCTGTACCGCAAGCCAACATGCGACTCCCCATAGTCTGTGCCAGCCTCCCATCTGTGCCCCAGGAGCACCAGCCCTTTCCTGCTGCAAACAGGGATGCAAGAACAGGGTGAAGACAGAGAAGGAAGGAAGCTCAGGCCACCCTGGAGGGACCCCGCTCCCAAGGAGGGTCCCTTTCCTGGGGCAGTCTTGTCCAAGGAGCTGCAGTTACAGTCTCCTTGTTTCAACACGGTCACCCCTTTACCAAAAAACAGATCGAAATCAGCACTGTCTTCGCAAGCTCTGAATGAGCTGCCAAGGCTTGGCAGGAGCACAACGGGAAACTGCTCTATGGCACCTCCGTCTCCATAGGGAGCACTCCATTTCCAAGGCTGGCTCTAATTCTGCTTCATGCAAAGCCCCTAGAGACGCAGAGGAGAGGCCCTCTCGCTGCCTCACAAGAAGATGCCAACAAACTGGCCTCACCCAGGTCACAACGCCTTTTCCTTGTCCGTACCTGGATAGCAGCACGTCGGGCCAGGCGTGCCTTCTCCTCTCGAATCTTCCGGCGTTCCTCATCCTTCCTCTCATGCAAATCCAGGATATTCCCTTCCTCCATCTGCTGCTGCCTTTCCTTCCAGAAAGGAGGGTCAAAAATATTACTGAGAGCTCTCCAGCACCCACCACCCACAGCAGAGAAGTGGGAAATGGCACACTGCACCTGAGGTCACCCCATATCCAGGCTTTCCATGCCTCTAATCCTCCCCTCCATGCAGGTAAAGAGCCCTCAGAAAAGCTCCACTTTAGAGCAGCTTATTTTCTTTAGATACTAAATGCAATTATTAGTCATCTGGGTCTGAAACCACCAAGGAGACAAGGCTTAAAAATAGACTCTCACATGCAAGAGCTACAGTACTTTTTGTTATTGAGATAAATAATTAAACACAAAGAAACACAAATAGCTGCAGATGACTCGTCACTCTCTAATGAGCCAACTTGTTACTGATTCGCTACGATTTGCTGAGACAGGGTATCCCTCCTCTGGCCACGAGCGTGTCCAAGACAATAAGAATTCTGCAGGATTTGTGCTGTTACTGCCAAGCATCTGCCTGCTCACAGCTGAAGGGAGCTGGTAGATCGGAGCCATGCAGCGCTGAGCACGGGGGCTCCTGGCCTGAGCCCCCCCCTCCAGAACCAAACCCGGGCTTTCCCCCTCCACAGCCAGCACATCTCTGCGGGGACAGGACCCTTCCCCAGCTCTCTGGACCGCAAGGGGCTGGCTAGATGCAAAGCCAAAGCCCCCTCGTCTCCGACAGCTCAGGTCTCAGTTGGGGGGTCTGGTGACTAAAGGGACTCCAGTTCTCTCACCAGCGAGGCAAGCGAGATGTGGATATCAGAAGGGTCTGTGCTACAAGGCAGCGGACAGGACTGACCTCCCTTTTGGAAGCCAGCAAGCGCCCCAGAGCTGCTGCTGCTGCCCTGTGCCGTTGTGAATGGCGTCGGTACCAGCGCTGGATGGTCACGGCGGCCAGGCTCACCTGCTGGATGAACCTACAGGGAGAAGGAGGGTCACCGTGGCCCCGCGGTCCTCCTCGGCTGCTGGCCGGGCAGCACCACCCCATCCCGCTGCAGCAGAGCACAGGCGGCTTGCCCATGGCACCGGGACCTGTTCTGTCCCCTCACACCCCAATTCGACAAGGCCTTTTCCCGGGCTGACTTTTGGGGTGGGAGGAACTTGTGCCTTTGATGAAGACAACTCAAAAGCTCAGAGCCAAGTCACAGGGAGGGTAAATTGGCCAATGCAGGTGCCCTAAGAGGGGCCCTTCCCAAATCTGAAGCCCCACAGGACAAGAACAAACCAGTACCAGCTCCCCTGGAGCTCACCCCTCTGCCTGGCACCGTTCTGCCTCTTTCCACCAGCCATCACACACCGGCTCTGCCTCACCTCTCCGCCTCTTCCTCGGTCACCTCCTTCCTCCGAGGCAGGCTGCTGTTGTTGTTGCGGGTCATGATGTTGTTGCTGGAGAAATTCTTCTGAGACTTCACAAAGCTGCTGCTTTCACCGTCCTCGTTTGAGGTCGCTTTGACAACATTGCTAAGGCAGAAGATGCAAGCTACTTGGCACCATCCTGCCCCGACCTGTGCCACATCAGCACAGGAACACAGGGTCAGCACAGCCTCCAAGACGGGACCTCACTGCACTTACTTGAGGGAACTGGGTGCCTGGTTGGAGCTTTTGGGTGCGGGGCCCTTCTCAGTGGTGGAGTAGTTGTTGTGCACCATGGTGGTGACACAGTTGCCCATCGCGCCCTTGTTGCTCCTTTTGTGGAGAGAAGACGAGGCGTTAGGGCTTGTTGGATCTGAAGGGGACAGCACACACCAACGACGGACACTCTCTGCATTGCAACCCTCAACCCAACCGTGACCGTGTGGAGCATCTCCCAAGGCGAGGAGCTGGCGAAGCCTCAGAAAGCAACTCACACGCTCTCTAGAGCTTGCTCCTCAGTAGCTGTTACCTGACGCACAGACAGACACAGCCCAAGTAGACCTAACAGCCTGCTGTTCAGGCTGTTCTACACGCAGCCTTGGCTTAAGTCTCTCCTGGCCCTGAAGGGTTCAAGTTTTACCCGTTCCCTTTCCTAGAGCGAGAGCAGCCTCTCCCATACATCCATCAAGCTCCTGCGTGGCCTCCAAACGCATCCTGGCCAGCCAGCCTGGCGCACCATCATCTGCCCTACACTTGACCCCCGTGCCCTGGCAGCAGCAGAGCACCGGCACCCCCTCCTCTGCGCAAATGTTTTCTTGGCATAGCTCCTCCCAACACCAGACCGGCTCCAGTTCAGCACCGCCTCTCCTACCTGTTGTTGGCGGTGAAGTTGGCTGCCAGGAGTACAGTGGCTTCTTTCCTCCTCATCCCTGCTGGTGGCTCAACGCCACGAGAGCCAGAGGGGCCTGGGAATGCTCGCGGCTGATCGTCCTGCCACAGAGTCAGCAGGAGTAAGTGCAGGCAAGCGCCAAACCCACGTCCTCAAACACCACCCTCTTCCTTCACAAGCCAGTTTCTTCCCCGTGCAAGAAACCTCTGTTCCACAGCACGGCAGCCTCGAGGCTTTGCCTGCGCCTCTGCCTGCCTCCACCAGAAGCATGGAAGTGAAGATCCAAAAGCCCTGGGCCAGAGACAAGGCCAACAGAGGCTACAGGACCGGCCAAGCATGTTGGCTATTCAAACCGTGCCAGCTTTGACTGCAGGCTGAGGAAGGACCAGCCTGGCCGCCACAGATGTACCACCCCATCCTCAGCTCTAGGGAAACCCTCCCACTCCTCCACCAAACCCAGCCAACTCCTCAGGAAAGCAGAGCTGACAGCCCACCCACCCCAGGATGTCCCTGTCCTCACCAAGATGTTCCACGTGGTTTTCTTTTCTGGGGAGGTTTTGCTCAGACTCGCCAGTTTCTTTCTTCCCCCAGAACCACTCTCAAAGAAAGTCAGGAAGTCTCCCATCTGCTCTGAGCTTCAGCCCAAACCCAGGGAAGGCAGAGAGAAGGAAAGAACATGTGTTCTGAAGTTAATATTGCATGCAGACACAGAGCAACAGGACAGTGATAGCAGGATTCTTATCCTGCACAGGCTGCTTCAGCGAGAAGCAGGCTCTGACAACATGCAGAGGATAGAGCCGAGGCACACCTACTGCCTGTCATCATGACCCAGAGGAGAAAAGGGATGGAGAATCATTACACAGTCATGAAATCTGTGAACGACTCTTTTTTACACAGAGCTTTAGATTTCAGCGTGATGTGCAGAGATAGAATACATTAAAGGGATGGGCATAGGGCAACAAGAGAATGGAAAAATCATGATACAGAGACAGCTCTAGGAGGTCACTGGAGACAAAAGGAGAACTTTTTGTCTGCTAACACAGTCCAGCTATGGTCCAGAGGGTCCATGAGGGGCTGTTGTAATTGAATGGTCCTGTCCCTTGGAATTAAATTGAGTGTCTTTTGTGACAGAGGCTTCCCAGCCACAGAAATACACTCTATTTCCCCAAATCCTAACCAAGTGACATCCCCTCAAAAAAAAACCCAAACAAAAAGCCAGACCTTGGCTTTCCAAGGCCAGGTTATAACCCTCAATGTGTATGACAGAGCTTAATGTACATTTTTGAAAGGCTCTGGTTCCCTCGTAGGACAAAAAAGGTCAGACAGATGGGTGGGGTTTCACACAGCCCCATCCACGGGACAGACGGGCACACGTCGGTGGCTGGAGCTGTACCTGCGCGTGCTGTTCACCCGCTGGTTAACCTGGGTGGTGCTGTTGGACCTCCGGAGGTTGTTCATTGCCCGGGATCCCGCATCTTCCTGCAGGGGAGAGAGCTAAAATCAGCAGCGATGCTAAGGAGAAGCACAGGCAGGCAGAGCTGGGATGCCTGGCCTAGGCAGGCTTCCCCCGTGAGTCAGGCATCCTAAAATAGCACTGCTGGTGATGCGACCCTTCCACCCCCTTCAAAACAGCCCCGACACGATGTTTCCGATATCCCCGCAGCTGCCAACCTCTCCTTGAGGCAGAGTGCAATGACACCTCGTTCCCTCTGCGCTGCTGCTGAGCCAGCAGGAACATGTTCATTTGTGTGAGCTCCCCAGCCAAGAAGGGCCATGCTCATTACCTGCCCTGAGAACGAGTGTGAACGAAGGCTGCCAAGATAGCAGGGATTACTCAGCAAAGAGCACAGAGACTCTCCACTACTGAATCTTAACAGAGCCCTGTAAGTACCTGGGGCTCATTCACTCTGCTGAAAAAACACTCACAGAAACCCCCACTCAGCGAGACACCAAGCCCCCAGCTCCTGCTGACCCCAGCAGGGACGGAGGGTCCTCAGCAAGGAGCAGGCTGGGCCTGAAAGCGCCGCAGCATCCAGCAGAAGATACCAGGAACTTGGGAGTTTCCAGAAGGAAATCGGCACAGGGAGGTGAAGGGCAAGGAAGGGAAAAGAGTGAAGCCTGACGCTTCCCTGCTTGCTCTTCTGCATATGTTAAAGCGCTGAGAAGAGACTTAACAAGCAGCCGATCATTGAGGATGATCAGATTTGGAGAGAGCGCATGGCACTGCAGCACCGAGAGCTGCAGCTCCAACTAGCACCTGGACCAGCCCAATTCTCCTCTCCTGAAGGCGGTGCGGCTGCTCTCCATAAACACACAGCCATGCTACATGCTTTCGGGGCAGGGCGAGCCAGGGCCCTCCCCAGTGCCACCTCCAGCCCCATGCTGCGCTTCAAAGCTCAGCCTGCAGGATCAGCGCAGCCCAGGCAGACGGCAAAGCGGTCCTGCATCGAGGCATCCCACACGCTCGCCCATGCACACATGCCTCCCTGCCCCAAGCAGCAGGAGGGACAAAGGAGCTCTCCTGCCCAAGACTCACCAAAGCGTTCCTCTTCGGTTTGCCGTCGGCGGTGACCGAGACAGAGCGTGCCATGTGCTTGGCGGGAGAAGCGCTGCTGGGGCGCCGCGAGACCGGCACAGGGAGACCCGTCAGGCTCAGATCCACACCGCCAGAACTGGCGCCCTGGAAGGAGGAGCTGCTGCGGGTGCTCTTCATGCTTGAGCAGAACGAAGGGGTCCTGGAAGCACAGCGCAAATGGACAAGCGAAGGCACGGAGAGCGTATCCAGCCTCGTGTGGCAAAGAAACAACGTGCTCTGCTCCTAGGTGTCTCCTACAAATGCCGGCACACAGAAATGTAACCGTTTTCAAACGGGACAAAACATCTTCCTCCGTATTTCCACATACCAAATAACCCTGAACACAAGGCCTGGAGAGGCTCCAGGTGAACTCCTCACAGAGCCCAACACCAGCAGCTGTCTCCTCACTGCTTTGACTGAACACCCTGGCCATCCCACGTCCCGCTGCCCCATTTACAGACTGGGACGCTTGCTTCAAGGCGAGCGGGTGCCTAAGACAACTGAGAAAAGCCCTGCTCCCCACACCGGGCTCCTTCACTCCATACAGACCATGGCTGACAGATGGTCATGCGAGCCCAGAACGGCCCCTTCAACCAAGGCCGGGGGTTCAGCTCACCCAGCACCCTTCCTCAGGCAGCGATGCTGAAGAAGCAACTGGGCAGCTCCCAAGAGATCCTTCCCCCACCAAGCGCTCCCCGTTTCTGCCAAGAAGCTGTTCAGAAGCGGCCGTGCCTTCCCCTCTGAGCCCCCTTCCCAGCTCGGGAGGCAGCACTGCCCGCTTTATCCCTTTGCATTCCATCCTGCCACAGCGCTGAGCCAGGAGCTGTCGCTGTCCCCAGGCAAATGCCACCGTGGCATCATTTTATTTCTTTAAATACCGCTACCCAAACCCTCCCTAAACCCCTCTTCCCCAGCAGGTCTGGTTTCACCCTCCCCTTGGGGCTCCACCGGAGACCGTGGCAATGCCTCAGGCTGCAACAACCCGGGTAAACAAAAGGCTCTCGATGGAAACCACCGAGCTCACACTGGGAAAACAGAGCTCAGGCCCACAGTCCAGGCCCGGGACGTGCAGACCAAAGACCCCTAAGGCTCAGGACCTCCAAGGTCCCAAGGCTCAGGATCCCCCCCGCCCAGGGCCAGGACCCCCAGTCCCAAGACCCCCAAGGCTCAGGACCCCCACACCCAAGGCCCAGGACATCCCAGACCAAAGACCCCCAAGGCTCAGGAGCCCCAAGATCCCAATGCTCCCCCAGGCCCAGGACACCCCAAACCAAAGACCCCCAAGGCTCAGGACCTCCAAGGTCCCAATGCTCAGGACCTCCCCCCCCAGGCCCTGGACCCCCAGACCCAAGAGCCCCAAGGCTCAGGACCCCCCAGGCCCCATACATGACAGGTGACAGGGGTAAGGGTCTCCAAGCAGCGAAAAGGACGCAGAGGAGAGTGAGAGAGACCCGCATCCCCCCCCCCCTCCGGGGCCTGCTGGGGGGGGGGCACCACCGAGGGCGAGGCCAAGCCCGGGCTAAAGCCCCGGCCCCGGCCCCCGGCCTCACCCGAGGCCCTGGCCCCTCCTTGCCGAGCTCCAACCCCCCCAACAAAGGGCCCCGGGGGCCGTTACAAGGCCCCGGCCCCCCCGTACCGGTCCCCCCCGTCGG